GGGTAAGAGTACGTCACCATGGATACTGTACACAAAGTACACATATATATTGATAACGATTATTTTCATTCATAAATAAAAGTAAGTTTATTATGCAGCAAGTGTTTTAATTTATATGCCGGTAAGAGTACGTCACCATGGATACTGTACACAAAGTATATATTGGTTCTTATAAGTTACAATAATATTAGTATGGAGTTGTTTTTTTTTGACTATTTTATCAGATAAAATTCGTGATTGAAAGGGGTGTATACTCTCCAGCAAACAGCTGATAAGCAGGTATCTAAAGCAGCAAACAGCTGATAGGCAGGTATCTAAAGCAGCAAACAGCTGATAAGCAGGTGTCTAAAGCAGCAAACAGCTGATAAGCAGGTATCTAAAGCAGCAAACAGCTGATAAGCAGGTATCTAAAGCAGCAAACAGCTGATAAGCAGGTATCTAAAGCAGCAAACAGCTGATAAGCAGGTATCTAAAGCAGTAAACAGCTGATAAGCAGGTATCTAAAGCATCAAACAGCTGATAAGCAGGTATCTAAAGCATCAAACAGCTGATAAGCAGGTATCTAAGGTACTATGAATGTAAAAAAAAAAATAGTATTGTCCGTTTGGCAGCGAGACGAGTAAAATGATAGGTCATCTACGATTACGGGTCACATTGACCCCCAGTAACCGTTCAAGATCTTAATGTGTGAAATAATTTAACTTCCAATGATTAGAACTGCAATACTACGCTACGGGGTTAAAGGTCAAATGTGCAAGTAACAACTCGCGAGATCATAGCTCACGTTGATCCCCAATAACCGTCCAAGACGTTAATATGGAAATAATTTGATATGACGTTCAATTATCAGAAGTGCTATGCTACGGGGTTAAAGGTCGAATGTGCAAGTAACAACTCGCGAGATTGTTACTTAAGGAAATAATAACAGCTTATTGGTGTCACAAAATTCATATGAAACAAATTTCATTGGTTTCTCGTGCATACGATGGTGCAGCAAGATATTTTAAATGATACTTACAGCATTACTTACGTCCCGCATGTGCCTGATCTAAGCCTAATTGATTTCGTTAAGTTTACTTTTATTTTAACCTACGCAAATTGAGTATCCAATGAAAATACTATTATATTAATATAACTCATTATGGGATGCGTCAATACTGTCAAACATTTCAGTTATTTTTTTTCAAAAACAGCAAAATACTGCTTTAACAAGTTTTGACTTAACCAGATTTTTTTGTTTTTATCTTGGAGCTTTTTGTAAATATCCACAAATGACTAGCACAACACGAGAAGAGCAAATACGTGACCTTGGCATACGTTGGACTTCTGTCTCTTATGGTTGCGCAAGCGCTGATAAATTATAATTTCGTAAAAGGTTGTTGCTACTCGAAGAAAAACTGGATTATAAACCAGATTGAGAAAACTTGTCGTGGACAAGGATGTGAAGCGTTTGAGGAGAAGTCAAATTTGGTTATGTTAGAATTTTATCTATCGGAAACCAGTGTTTCCACTCGACGCTTCTACGAACACGAGTTACCTAACTACGTTACACGTGCAAGTGTTTGTTGAACGCCTGGCCTTGAAAGTCGTATTCTTTTATTAAAACTGACCCTTTGATCTTCGGTGGGAACTGCTTTGCTCCTCACGGTTAAATTCTTCTAATGTTGTTTATCCGTTGTCTACTATTGTCTTTTTCTTTGTTTCATAACTTTGTAAAACTGCGTGTTATTTTTCTTCACTCCGTACTGTTAACACATCCTCCGTTTCTTCACATTATTTTCTTTACTCTGTTTATATGGTTTCAGTTTCTTCAGTCTTCGTAGTTAAATAACCTTTGTTTCTTCACTCCGTATTGTTAACACATCCTCCGTTTCTTCACATTGTTTTCTTTACTCTGTTTATATGGTTTCAGTTTCTTCAGTCTTCGTAGTTAAATAACCTCTGTTTCTTCACTCCGTATTGTTAACACATCCTCCGTTTCTTCACATTGTTTTCTTTACTCTGTTTATATGGTTTCAGTTTCTTCAGTCTTCGTAGTTAAATAACCTTTGTTTCTTCACTCCGTATTGTTAACACATCCTCCGTTTCTTCACTTTCTTTACTCTGTTTATATGGT